GCTTTTTGGACTCAGTTGTAATTTCCAGTAATTTTTATATATGTTATCTTTTGTTTTTTTCCAGTCAGCACAGCAAGGGCTTAGTTGTTTATTAAAAAAACTAAAAAAATTTCAATCACAACTTAAAATTTAACTAAACTTAACTCAATTCTACAATTCATAAAATTATCAATATAGTTAAATAATATCATTTAATCATTATTGATTTCTTGCATATCACATCATCTTTAATTCACTGTTCATCAACTCACATAATTTTAACTACTTATCAATCTCAATCATTTATCTCCTATTTTTATATCAAATTAATTTTAATTATTTTATTTAAATATTATTTTAATACAAACTTAAAGTTTCACTAAAAACTAATCATATTAACTTTTTTTCAAATAAATCCTAATTAACAAAAAAATAGTAAAAAACTGAAAAAATTAGTAAACAAGCATGCCTTAAAGTAGAACGGTTCCAAAGTCCAAACTCCAAAGTGCAATTGTAAATTTGCATAAAATTATTATCCTAAAATGATGACGTGTCGTGCCAACATTATTGAGTTTACTGTTCACTAGTCAACGATATGTCGGGCCAAATTTATCGTGAAATGATTATATATGTCTCGTGACAAAATTATAGGTCCAAACGTTATTATGAAATATTAATGATTAGATGTGTGTGTATATATTACATGCAGTTAGGGCTGTATTTTGAACCGAACGTTCGTGAACAAAGCTCGTTCGAGTTTGTTCGTGTTTGATAACAACTCGTTTGTTTAGCAATCGAACCGAACACGAACATAAAATTACGCTCATTTAGTTATCGAACGAACACGAACATGTTCGCGAACTAATCGAGCGTTCGCGAACAAAAAAATATTTTATAATTTTATATATTATATATAGTATATACATGTATAATATAATATATAAATATGAATATATATTAAATATTAAATAAAACACAAATATTTTATAATTTTATATATTATATATAGTATATACATATATAATAAAATATATAAATATTAATAGATATTAAATAATAAATAAAATAACTTGTATGACATTAAAATAAAAAAAAAGTGAAAAAACACGAACACGAACATGTCGAACAACTCGAACACGAACTTGTCGAACAATTCGAACAGTTCATGAACATGTTCGACTAGATAAACGAACGAACACGAACGTGTCGAACCAATAAACGAACGAACACGAATAAAATTTTTTGTTCGTTTACTAATCGAACGAACAGGAACATGTTCGAAAATTAATCGAACTCGAGCTCGAACACCCTAAGCTCGGTTCGGTTCGGTTCGATAACAGCCCTACATGCAGTAGCACTACCGTGTGCGGCACACCTAGCTAGGCATGCCAGGGCAAATTTGCACGCGCTCCTCACCCCAAAAAACTAGAAAATTTAGAGAGTGTAGTGCACATTCCCATTTTTTCTTTTTTAATTGAAAAATGAGACATATTACATAAATTAAAATATCATTTATTATTTATATTAAAAAAATAAAATAAAAATACCAAAATTCATAATTTTTCATTATCTATAAATAGAGACCACATTTGATAGGTTTTTTAGCACAACTAATTTTTCGTTTTTTCGTAATTATTTTATTATACTGACATATAATGAACATGTTACATAACAAGATGAATATGTTTTCAAATAAGATGAACATGTTACAGATTGCAGATTGAAATAATACATATTCATCTTATTTTATAATATGTTCATCTCATTTTGGTAACATATTCATCTTATTTTATAACATGTTCATTTTATTATGTAACATGTTCATAATAACATGTTCACCTTATTGTATATGTAACATGTTCATCTTATTCTATAACATGTTCATTTTATTATGTAACATGTTCATCTTATTCTATAACATGTTCATTTTATTATGTAGCATGTTCATCTTATTTTAGAACATGTTCATCTAAATTTCATCTGTGAAAATATAACATTTTCATCTTATTCTATGACATGTTCATCTTACTCTATAATATGTTCATCTTACTATGTAACATATTCATCTAATTATAGATTCGCGTCATAATCTTCCAATAAGATAAATTAATTGTAAAAAATGATAAATTAATTGTGTTCCAAAAAACATCAAATGTGGTCTTTATTTGTAGAGAATGAAAAATTATGAATTTTGGTATTTTCATTTTTTGATACAAAATATGAATGATAATTTAATTTATATAATATGATATATGAAATTCATTACCCCATAGAAATGGGACACATGTCCCATTTTAAAAAAAAAATACTCTACCTCCTTACCTCACGCGCTTTTGAAGGAATTGTATTTCACAAAAGAATCTGGCACACCCTAATTATTTGCGTATTACATGACTAATAAAATCTTTGATGTGAAATAACAGTCAATCATAACAATTAAATAAGAGTGAGAAATCTGTTACGTATACCCCAAAGTAATTCTAAAATTCCAACATTGATTGACTCCAGGTCTCCAACAGCTAGCTAGTTCACGAGTCATTAATTTTATAAAAATTTAAATTATATTTCTATTATATTTCTTTTACAAATGTACATAAAATAATAAAAATAAATTATTTGTATGTAACTTTTACACCCCATAATCTGTATAATATTGTATGGTATCAGAATATTTACGACATATATATATATGAAGTTTATTTATTTTTTTTAATAAAAAGGTCAAACAAAGAAAAAAATAGAAAATAATATTTAATGGCCGAGCCAAAACGAGTTGACCCGGCGTGGTCAATACCTGATCAAAGTCGAGTTGACCGAGTCCCTTGCTACTCAGTCTGAACAACCTACGAGGATCGATTCGGGTTTCAAAACAATACTTTAAATCGTTAAAAATAAAATAAACTAAATTATGATATTTTATAATAAATATGTATAATTATTAAATGAAATTATTACGGGTCGATTTTACTAACAATTTGAACGCTTTATATAATAAGAGAAATGATAGAAGTACATATTATTGTAAATAGAAATGTACATAATATGTGTTACAATAAATGTTACCTTGAAAATATATTTAGTTTAATTTACAAAGTTTACTATGGGTATATAGCTTCACCGAATAGCTAACGAATACTAGTCACATCTTAAGATTTTGTAATCTTTCAAACACATCATCCTTGTGTATCTGTAGAAGATAAATAAAAGGGGAGTCTTGACAAGAGGACTGAAGATCAGGGATTTGAAGATGGAGAAAACACTGACGTCGAAATCAGAGGTTGGGAAAGTGTGGATGGCCAGTTGGGCTTAGTTAATTAATTGTTGGGAAAATTATGGACTGAATTATATTAGACTAGTAAAATGGCCCATAGTATGGCCCAATGCAATAGCTTGATCCATGTGGTTCTATTACATATTCATCTTCATTTGAAATTTCTCCATGGCCTAAAAAAAACCTTCCCTCCAAAAACTAAAGGTGTAAACCAACCGAATTGCCCCAAGCCCAAGTTCTTGATATTCAAGCTCGAGTTCAAGTCCTTATCGACCTGAGTCGAGCGTGGCTCATTAACTAAACAAGCCAATATTAGAGCTCAAATTTGACTTGTTTATTAGTATTAAAGGGTCTTAATAAATCAAACTCCACTTGAGCCGAGCAATAGAAAATTAATAAAAAATTCCTATATTCGAGCCATAGCTCGGCTTGTTAACTAAACAAGCTAAGGCTCAGCTCGTTTATCAAACGAGCCAGGTTGAGCTTTGAGCCTCAATGAGTCGAACTCAGCCGAACTCATAAGCAACTCCTTTCATCTAATATCTCTAACATCAATACAAACCCAACTTCAAAGTTGTTCTATTGGGAGAAGAAAACATTAGTATTACATACATACTTTTAGTTGTGTTGATTTTTAGAGTGACATTACTTAGAAATATGCATATCAGTTGAAAATGTATTGTTGAATTGTTTCTCCTGCCTATAACTACATTCTTACTGCATTAAGATTTCTGTAATAAACCCTCAAAAGAGGGTAGAAAAAGAAGAATCACTCAAACACTAAAATAAATAAATGGAAGACCAAAAAATCTCTGAGTACATCAGTTAAAGCCTGAAAAACTTATTTTGCCGGCTGATGAAATTTCATGTCAAAGTGTATCAAATATTAATTAAGAGAAAATGGGTTTGGGTTAGATAAAGATTTGATAGGATGTTTATGAAAGTGAAAGGTAAAAAAAAGTAACTAAGGTCCATGGAGGACAAGGCATTTATCACTAATTCAAGAAAAGGTACATAAAAATAAGAAAGCATATGTGCCAATAGCCAAAGAACATCAAAGTCATACTGTACTGAAAAGGACCTGAAAATGAAACATCACACCATGAATAATGGTTTTTCTATTTATTGAAGATCTTTTGCACAGATTTTGGACATCTAAAAAAATCATCATGAAAATGAAAGCATGATAATGAAAGACATTTACAAGGTCAGAAAATTGAAAATTAAAATGAATATAAACAGTAGAAATGAAAATTTCCCCCCTAAAAGAATCATTTTTCCATCAAATGTTTCAATGTGAAAAATGAGCAAAGCCTGCAGATAATTGAAGTGACAATAACTACAAATGCTCCCCAAACATTTTCCAGTAATTACCAAGAAAAACATAAGATTTTTTAATATTAAAAAAAGACCACCTTTGCAGTTTAAACCATATTTGGAGGAAAATGTAAGACACTAATAACAAACTCTAGCCGAAAACTGAAAAACTCGACTCTAAATTATCATCACCGGTACATGCAAACCTAGACAATATTATTGATCAAGATATATTTTCCCTAAATGGGAATAAATTGTACAAGATGTTTGATGTTTCCAGCAGTGATTAGTCGATCGACAATTCATGTCTCAATGCATCCACACAACAATTCAAAGGCTTTCAGGAAAAAAGGTACAACCAAAAGCCAGTAAGAACAATACTCAAAACACATCCCTTTAGACTCATACCTGCTTCAAGCAAAAACAGAATTTTTCATTCAACCAAACCCATCTCCTTCCGCCTTAATTCCAAAGCCATCCTCTCATTCTCGAGCTTCATCCTCTCGATCTCCATCCTCATCACCTCCAACTCCCGATCCTTTTTACGACAAAATCTCTGCCACTTAAACTTCTGCTTCTCTAATTCCAGCATCTGGGCCTCTATATGCAGCCTCTCCTCCTCCAGCTGAAGCTTATTCCAATTACTTGCCTTGCTCGTTTGCGAAATTACATTTTCATGAGGGCCCAGAGAATTCTTGAAGCTAAACTCCTCATGACTCGGGCACAATTTGACCCTTTTGCCCAAATTCTCTTCACACTCATTAAATTCCCCTTCTTGATCGTCAATTTCATCATTCTCTTCATTGAAATGACCGTCTCTGCTCGTGAGAGCCAATCTCAAAGAATGCTGCAAATTTGGGTCGGGTGGCAAATGCAAACGGTTCCCATTATGGTACGAGCACATCTCCTCGTAATGCAAATGTTTCGAGCTCAAGATTTTTCGAACCTCGTCTTTGGCCTTATCAGAAAGATGGTCCATCAAGTCCAAAAGCGCGGGATTCTCAACTACCTCACAAGAAGTCCCTCTTCCCAAAATCTCGTTCAGCCGCTTGTACCGTTTGTTAAGGTCGTTGAATTTGTCCTCACACTGCTGGGGAGAAACTAAGTGGCCTCTCTCGGCCATGACTTTTGAAACGGATTTCCATTTTCCCTTTTTGTGCAAATTTGCGAGTTTTTTTTTAGGTCCGTTTTCGTGGGCCATCTCCTCGTTTATGTATGAGACGGCCGTGATTAAAAGACGAACTTTTGCGTCTGTCCATTTCACGCGTTGCCATGGAGAGGTTGACTTTTTTCCCTTGGGATCCTCGTTAAAACTCGGTTCATCCTCATCGCTTGCCGAATTTGCTCTTAGGGTTTCTTGATTGGCACCATTTGTAAGGGGGAAATTTTCGTGGATCGTGGGGAAATTTTGGTGTTGATGGTGGTGGACTCGAATCGGAGCTTGCGGGTTGAAATCCACATAAGAGCTGTTGTTATTGTCTTGCATAGTGTTTGTCGATGATTATATATTTATATATTCCACCATAGGCAATTTTGATGTAACAAGATAATTATGTGAAATGGAGGAATGAATTACAATTTCACCATCCTAATTCTGCAGGGAAAAGAAAACAAGCATTTGATCATTCTTCATTCAAAATTCATATAACAAAAATAAAGGAAAAATATATCATTTTTATGGCATGGTCGCATTTTTTAAGCAAAAATCTTGAAGCCCTTAACAAGAGAGTCATGTGAAATGGAGGAGTGAATACAATTTCACCATCCTAATTCTGCAAGGCACAACAAGCATTTGATCATTCTTGATTCAAAATCATAACAAAAATAAAGGAAGAAAGACATCATTTTTACTGTATGATGATTGCATTTTTTTTAAGCAAAAATCTTGAAGCCCTTTAAATTCTTGCAGCCAGGGGACGATTGCTTAAATTTCATTTTTAATTTTCTATAACTCAGAAAGTGGCAACACATAGAGTTGTGGTCAGACTAGTGCTAAAGCAAAACCCTAGTCTTTTAGAGCCCCAAATGAAAGCTCTACATCATCAATCGAGATCAACACCATCGTGGCAGAAAATTATCAATGGTGAAAAATCAGAAGACTTGATTTTTTGCGAACATTTTTGCCCACACAAAGGACCTACTACAAAACCCACAGGAACAGCAGATGTACTCAACCTTGACCCAGAAAAAAACAAGAAAAGGCAAAAAAAAAAAAAGATGCAATCTTTATACCTGAAATGAAAGAAAATGAATATTTGTCAGCAAGAACTTCCTTTGAAAACCCCCAATCGAGACCTGTGCCAGCAACTACTGAACCTAAAATGAAAAGCTTAAGAAAGGGGTAAAAGGAAATAAAAGTTTGGACTTTACATCTCAAAACCTTCACAGAACCTCAAAACTGAAAAAGAAACAATAATAATGAGAGGTGAAGAAAACTAAATAGGGTGAAAAAACGGTTGTGGATGGCTGGATACAATGTATGAGAGGAGGATCCAATGGGTACACACAGCGTTTTTTTGTTTTTTTGTGGTTTGCTTATTTCATATGAGAGAGGCACTATAAAACACACGCGGGCTAAAAGAATCAATAGGAAAGAAGGTTGAGAAAGGCTTGGTTTGTGTCGATACTGAACATCAACAAAGAAACTGCACAAGTTGGGTCATCAAAAGGGAAATTAGTACAACTTTTTTCTTTTCTTTTTAGATTGTGTTATGACTGATGAGGAAAGAAGATATAATTGAATTTGAACAATACTATATATACCTCAAACAAATAACAAAATTGTGAAAAAAAATCTCGTAAAATGATTATGAGATTGTAATTTCTTTTAGTTCTTTCTTTTTCTTTTTGAAAATATTCACTTTGTAGAGTATTGTATCTATGTCTCTATATTTAATAAAAAAAACAAATAACAAGATTGTGAAAATATTCTCGCAAAATGATTGTGAGATTGTAATTTCTTTTAGTTCTTTCTTTTTCTTTTTGAAAATATTCACTCTGGAATTGCTTTGCCTTTTTTTGCCCTTAATTTGTTTTGCTTAACTGCGAGAGAGATATTAAATGAGTTATTTTCATACCTTTGTCCATTTAAGTCTAAAAACTAATAGCGTTATTATCTATTTTCTACCTCTTTTAATCAATGTTAGGTCTAAAAAACAACAAGTTATTATAAGTTTTTTTCCACATCTTTTAATCAAGTTGTATTTTTAGCCAGAACATTAAATATGAACATGTTAGGGCTAGCTTGTAAAATAATTAATATATTATCTCACTAAAATATTTATACTAATAAAAATTTAACTTAGTTTATAAATTTATCTCTTGATATAAGAGAAAGTAACAGTTTTACTTATTGTTGTTCACTATATAATATTTAATTATTATTTTATTATATAATCAAAAAAATACTGTTAAATAGTGTAGTATAACTGTTATAAAATTATATAAAATTGTTATAATTGTTATAAAATCGGATTACAGAATTTCAATAAATAAATAATAATATTTTTGCTAAAAAGATAAGAAGGAAATTTCGATTCCAATCTACAAAAAGTTTAAAACGATTTTATGGGAATTTGTTGACTAAACGGATTTTATGGGATAAAACAAATAGAAGATAAGAAGGAAATTTCAAATATACAAAAAATTAAAGCCGATTTTGTTGGATTTTTTCGCAGGAAAACCAATTGTATGAGAATAGTAATAGCATTAATTGAATCGCATAACATTAATTTCAATATAAAATAATTAAATAAAATACATGCTGAAAATAGTAATAGCATTAATTGCAGTTGACTTTTCTGAATACTATTTGTAGTAAATAGAATCCCTTTTATTTATATAAGTATAGATTCACTTTTATAAATGGTTCCCTGTGTCAATTGATTGTGTTGGAAAACTTTTGGGTAGTTTCATATTTTAAAATTATCTCATTAAAAAACGTGTTATTAGAAAATGTCGTATTTATAAAAGATTATCTCATTACTTTATCTTCCAAAATCGATTGATTTTGCTAAACTGGCTAACCATTAAGCTGACATATTTATACTTTTATTTGAAAATGTCATTTAAAAAGATAACATAAAACATAAGTATGACATTTAATAATATACTTCTATTAAAAAATATCATTATAAAAAACAACAAAAATCCACTAAAACATTCAAGTTATATTTTATTTTCAACTGAAAACGTGAAAATATCAAGCAAAGATTTTCTTCCGCAATAACAATGAACGCGATAAAGAATATGCTATGACGGATACATATATTTTCGCTCAAAATGATTTTTTTTTTTATTTGTTAACTAAGGTCAATTTTGATAAAGATTAAATAGTTAGTTATTAATAAAATTTTGAATTTGTGTTAAAATAATATTTATAATAATGAGTTAATGTAATAATAGGAGAGAGATAATGTGAAGTGATCATTAATTAATGTGATGAGTATTCTTAGATTTTATTCAAATTGAGTTAAATTTTGATCAAAAAATTTATAAGCATATACCCCCTCTAAACAACTGTTTACAAACCGAAAATAAATCTTCCTGTCATGTATCCGCAATAATACACAATGACCCAACAAATAAAACCTTACAGAAATCACATAATAACACCAACAAATAAAACAATTTGCACAGAAACATGTATATATATACCTTATTCAAACACAAGGAAAATAAAAATTAAAAAAAGAAAAAGAAAAAGAAAAAGGAAAGCAGCCATAATAACTCAATAAAATACAACAACTTGACAAAATTCGGTTGGGAAAAAAACTGATAAAAGAAAATACAACTTTCATCTGCGCCTATGCCTGGGTGAAGCAACTGAGTGAGTGCCTCTGTAGGGAGAATCCACTCTGAAAGAGGCGTATGCTGCTTTGGCCGACTCCGGAACTGAGTCGAGCGGCAATGCCTCCACAAAGCATGCTGTGTTGATCCTTGTCCTCTCGAGCTCCACCTGAAGCAGCTCTGAACTGTACTGCTGGGCAAGAGCCTACATAAACCGAAACCCACATAAGACCCAATCATGCAACTATTTGTGGCAGAAATGAAACCGGCCAATGTAATCGTTTTTACTAAAATATTCTGAAACTATGAAATTTCCAGTTTGGTGCCTCCCACAGTACAAACACAACTTGATTTTTGTACGCTAGTTAAGCATTGTACGTTAAAACTGGTGAGCAGCAATGTAATATGCTATTGGATGATCATACATACAAAAGCACTCAGATTTTGATCATTTATTTTGACAGAAAAGAAAGGTAAGAGCAGAGTATCTTTGAGATTTTGGGGAAGAAGAGGAGCAGCAAGCTTTAGGATTACAAGTACCTCTTGATAGTTTGTTCATTATTTTACTAATTGCACTCTGTGGGAGTGGGACTCGTTTACTATGCAAATCTCAAGTGCATAGAACATTGTGTTTCCAACATAATCGGTATTCATTCTTCTGAATCACATTAAGGCTCAGTGGACTAGTGTGTGTGTGTGTGTGTGTGTGTGTGTGTAATTTCTTTGGTTGAAGAAAAATGAACAGCTATAAGGGCAATATAAGAATAAGGCTGTAGATAAAATTGATGGGCAAGTGTTGAATTTACTTACAATCAGATCATCAGGCGATGCAGATGACAGCCTGTCCTCGAGCACGTCATCACTTCCACGTGTAGGCCGCCGCTGATGACTTGGCGTCTCTACGGTCTCCGTCACAGTTTCAATAGCTTTTTCCAATAGGACCCCTTGCAGTGACTTGAGAGAGTCCCTCGCATCATGAGTGAAGTAAGGATTCAATATGGTCTCATAATATTCGAGCTGCACAACAATCGAGGGGAACAGAGTATTAGCTACTATAAAATCACCCATCATTAATATAATAGATGAATATATTTTCAGGAGGGCCTTTTTTTTTTTCTTTCAGGAAAACGTTTTAATTCTTTCGGCTTTCCATTATTATCAACCACATTCATTTTGTTGTGAGGAAATTTTCAAACCAGTTCCAATCTCGTCGGTCATTTACTCATACTAGACATCAGATTTTGAGCACTGGCTCTGAACAGAATCCAAATTGGGAATGTGGGTGGATAATTCATATTTTACCTCAAGCATTAGCTGAGAGTAGCCATTGGCATCCAATGCCCTGAAATCTTTGTCTTGGTTTTCGTTAAAGAGGCCGAGGAATATGTCAATCAAGCCTTCAACAAGAATACCAAGGATTTTGTCGAGCAGAGGCTTACAGCCAGCAAAAACCTGCATGATATCATATCTGGTTCTGAGGAAGTGCACAATCACAAACTATGTAGAAACTTGGAGACTTGGTCTAACTGATGTTTCAGAATTTGAATATCTAAAAATAAATAAAATGATAATAAAATAAATATAGGCAGAACTTGGATAAGTACCTCTGCGTGTACAGCTACTAAAGTATGAAGTAAGTCAACAGCTGCATCTCTAACCCCCTGCAAGGTTTTGATGAATCATACTCAGAAATATTTA